ATATACATGATCCAAACAACAACAATAATTTGAGCACTTGCCGACTTAGACACGGCGCTGTCCTGTACGTTTAATCCCACAAACCTCAGCGCTCCTTTTTCCCAGACAAATAAATCTAAATGAGTCAGCTTTGATCTCAGCACTTAAGGAAAGCCAACAATGGAGGTAGAGGAGAAAGGGGCAGAGAGCAACAGGCCTCTCCCCAACACAACAATGGCCTCTGCAAACACCTACTTAATCAATATTTGGCCAGAAGACACTCTTTCAGTCCCCAAATCAGCCTTTTCACATTCTAATGAAGTGCCATAAAAGAGGAAAAACAACAACTACTTTCACAAAAGGCACAGGAATAAAATAGTGTTGGTCTGTTTAGCAATAATCTTAGCTGTTTGCTTTGGAGAAACATTTACAAATTTATTTTTGCTTTGCATCAAATAGTCCACAAAGCTTAGTGACAACAAACAAAGCAAATTAAAATTTAAAACCTTTGGAAAAGTATTTATTGATGATAACTAATGGATTACTTTATTTGCGATCAGCACAATCTGTTAGAAGTCAGTGGATGTGGATTGGATTCAGCGCCCAGAGCGAAAGGTGTGTGTGTGGGGGGGGGGGGGGGGGGGGTGTGGGGGGGGGGGGGGGGGGGGGGGGGGGGGGGGACTTTGTCGGTGATGAAAGTGGTGAGAAATAAAAGGTTTGGATTTATATTCTAATGCGGAGGAGAGGTTCCCTCAGATCACTTGGCTAAGGGCGTCGGGCTCGCTGCGCAAAGACGAAAACGACCCGTGCGTAAAAAGTAACCAAAAGGTTCGATTTGATCTGAAGCTGTGGGGGTCTTGTCTGCTGCAAACTTTCTCTACAACTTTATAGGGCTTGTATCTTATAAAATTGACAAGAGGCCAGAATTTTTAATCAATCTGCAACATGTGCAAAGCAAAAATAAATAAATCAAAATAATTTGCAAACATTGGTTCTGTCCCCGGAGACCTGGTAAATGATATCTTCATTATCTATTTTTTTTTCTTGCAATAACGGATCAGTCCAACAGGTCGTAAATCAACAGGTGTTTCACTAAAAGCATGGCTTCTTCTCCTGTTGCCAAAGATGGAAAAAAAAATCCGAGAATTGGCATTTCTTTGCGCAAAATAAACCCCTGGGCCCGTCGGTGTCCCTGAATAATTCATCGCTCATTGCGGGTCCAGAATGTCTTCTCTCGCTCTTTTGTCAGCGCAGTTTTTCTCTCCCTTCTTTTCTTTCCTCATTTTGAAAAGCTCTGGCATCTTTTTTTTTTTTTTTTTTTTTGTACACCACTGAGCCGCTCACTAGTTTGGCCTTTGTGCGCGTCAGACTGAGGTGAGACTCAATGGACTCTCCGCGCTTTGTTCCCCGAAGTTCATCCTCAAGTATCCGATTAAGTGAAGAAGAAAAAAAAGTTTTCTCAAGCTGGAAGGTTAGACAAATATTTGGTTTAATAATAAATAAAAGACAATTTGGGCATCTTTTAACTGTCGGAGTTTTATGCGTAAAAATGATTAAACAATATTAACTTTTTTAGATAATTTGGTGCAATTGGTGACCACAGATATCCATGTATTTTTTATGTTTTAATTTAAATTAACAGGTTCCCTCCTGATGGGACAGAGAACAGAGTTGAACTCACATCTGTCTCCCAGGATGCCATCGATGCTGTGTTTGGTCCGAGGCTCGTTTTCATCCATCGTCCTCCTCACCACCTCCTCCTCCTCCTCCTCTTCCTCACCGACTCCGCCGAATTTAGAGCGCATGACGCGGCTGATGGAGCTCACTTAAGAAAAAAGGGGACAAAGTCAGATAATAATTCATACTCAAACAGAAATCTGCGTGTCGTTTTGTATGTTTTTGCTGAGTTTACCTGAAGGGACGGTGTTTCTGTCGCAGACGCCATCTTTAAGCAGTTTGTCCCTGATTTCCCAGCTGAACATGCCGGGATTGTGTCTCTTGTACTCTTCGATTTTCTTGTCCACTTCTGGAGAAGCGGTTTGCTTAAAGTAGACACACACAAAAAATAACATATAATATAATATTTGTCTTGTGCGTTGGGTTTATATTTGAAGTTTGCAACAAACCCAATAAACTGATTTACTCTGAAATAAAAGTTTCCCCAAACAGAAACTGTTGCTTTTCTTGCAGGGAGTAAGATTTTGATAATTACTTCATTTTCTATTTAAAAAAAAAATATCTCAATTTAAATTATTTTTCCTCTATAAATTACTTTAGAGGTCATGGCTGTATGATTTTTAAATAATATTTTGATCTGAATATGGAAAACCTGCAGAATGAAACTTATTATTAGAGAGTTTCTCCCTCACCTTTGGCTTGCTGCCTCCGATGGCTCCAGGCCTGATGGAGCCCGTTTCCTGGTACCTGCAGAGGATTTTGGACACGCAACCGTGGGACACTCGCAGCTGGCGCGAGATGACGCACGGCCGGATGCCGTGATGGGCCATCTCCACGATTTTGTGCCGGATGTGGTTGGGCAGAGGTCTGCCATTGATGAAGACCCCACCGAGCTGGTTGACCCGACCCTGTCCCAACGGCGTGGAAACTGGACAACAAGGACATCTCAGAATATTCTTTAAGAACTCCAAAAACCGCCTTCAGGTGTGATCTGTATCGCCAAGACTGCACTGTTCAGCAAAGTTGGCAAAACTACTAAGTTGCAATTTAAATTTAAAAATTGTGCAAAGAAAAATTACATTAAAAATACTAAACCCATACAGAGATTTTTAAATTAAAACTAGTGAAATTTGCGCTTTGGTTCCATTAAAAAAAAAGACATTTATTGAATTACTTCATGATTAAGAGTTGTTCAGGGTTGTGTTGAAATTTGTCAACTTTGCTGAAGTCGATTTAAAGTTGTGCTCCTCTTCAAATGAGCAGCAGCTTCTTCTTACCCTCCAGAGAGTATCCTCCACGCGGGTAGTTCTGGTGAGGAGAGGGTCTCATCATTCTCGGTAAACCTCCTGCGAGCGCCGCCATGACTCCTGACTGTGTCAGGCGACTCTTCCAGTGGATCTGCCTCTGCTTGTCTGTTAAATCCAACTATGTACACTCTTTAAAGTTGAGCTTCGTCGCCCCCCCTCACACCGCCACCCTTCAGCCTCCTTCCTCCCTGCGCGTAACCCGTGCGTAACAGGTTGGAGACCAAACCCGAGAGCAGTGGATCCGAGGCCTGAGAGCAGCAGCTGAGTATCCAGAGGTCGGTCCGGTTGTGTTTGGACTTCTGAAAGTCCTGAGGTGGATTAGGATGATGCTTTGAGTGGATGGATGGAAGTCAAAGATTTTTATCCGAGCTCGCTGTCCCCTCTGACTCGGAGCTGCGCGCGCTGATTGGTTAAAGATCCGGACATTTGGAGGCAGGAGGGGCTCTTTGATTGGACAGAAGGAGACAAGTTCTGCTTGGACCGAGCGCACGAGGTCAACTTGTCACAAGCACAAAAACTTTTCCCAAATAAAACTATTAAATATGTGAAGTTTAGGCTTCAAGGGACCTGAATAAAACTGTTTGGTTGTGAATGTCAAGAGACGAATTTGAATCAGTCCGAATAAAAAGAGTTCCACAGCAAAACATTACATTTAGTTTTATAAAGTCACAATATAGGGAAAAATAAAATTTAAATAGGAATTGTAATAATCGAATAATTTTTAGGGCATCCTCAAAGTAATATAATATTTATTGTATTTTATATTCTTTTAATATTTAACCATTTAGAAAAGATACCCTTTTAAAAATATTATTATTACTACTACTATTATTATTATTATTAATAATATTTTTAATATTAATATTAATTTTATTAAAAACCTAAAATAGCAAAAGTTTATTTATTTATTTATTTGCTCTGTTTTGTTTTAAAACTAATTATAAATTTTGGTGTCGCACAAAAAAAAAAACCCGGCAGATTTGCTTGAAATCTAAAACTAAAATTAAAAACCGAAGCACCCTATGAACCTTTCTCTTTGTAAATAACTTAAATTTAAACAATAATAATTTAAATCAAAAGCCTTTAGCAGAAGTTCGTGCGCGCAGCGGGCACGGTGAAGAGGAGAGAATCCTGTCTGTTTACATCTCCCGGTGCTGATGATGGGGGGCTAGGGATCCGATCCGACCCGCGCGCACAGCTCCGCGTGCTCCTCGGACAGTTGCGCACACGGAACAATAGAAAGCAGCGCGCGGCCTCGTGGCTGAGTGTGACACATCCGTGGAAATGCAGCACCGCGCGCACACTGGACCACATGAGGGATCACTTGACTTCTCCGCAGCTTGTACAGATGTGATAATTGCACTAATTAGGCGTGTTTAATGGACCCGAACCTTCTCCTTCATGTCTGTGTCCTCCTGGTCCATCTCCTCTCTCACATCCTGTGGATGATTACTTGCTCACGAGCTCCTCAAGCAAACTCATGTCTGACTGTGGAAGAAACCCAAAACACAACAAACTGTAACAGATAAAACTTGTCTTCTTTTTTTTTTTTTTGCTCCATCTTGTTTTCAAAAGGCGATGGAAAGAAGCCAGATGTTTTGATCAAGCTACTGGTGGAACATGTGTAAGATAAGTGGGCATCAGATTTTAGATCTTAAGAGGAGAGTTGTATCCTCACTTTAATGTTTAGTTTGGTGCAACACTCCACAAGCCTCGTGTGTAGTTTTACTCCTTTTGAAAAAAAAATGGACAGAGAACATGTGGAAACATTATACCTCTATAAAAGCACGAACGGGGGGCATAGAAAGTTATCATACTAAAGTTTGACTATCATGAAAAGGATATCGGATCTACCATGACCAATCGATTACAGGGCCAAGCTGGGTCAGAAATGTGCTGCGGAGGTGGACAAAACGCAGAAATAAAGAAGAAAATGGAGCTCTGAGGGGGGAAACTGTTGCATGTAGCTGGCAAACACACAGAATGAGCCAGGAGGCTACACAATCTAAACAAGTTGCCAAGTCTTTCATAAACAGATTATTTTTTTTCCTGAACAGGCATCAGGGACTTGATGATGCTGTGAGCTGTTTGAATCAAAAAAAAAAAACTGGACCAAGTTCAGTTCTGTTCGTGATGAACACGACATCAGATGTGAATCCAGATAAGAGTTTTAAAAGAAATCCTCACAGGAGTAGCTGTTGGAGGTTCTGACCCATCTGGACTCGTATGAACTGGTCTCATATGAACATGGCTGCTGGCTGTAAAACAGCATGTTCTCACCGTGTGTTGTCCCTGAAGTGATCGTGATCTGCTGCTAAATTAGAGCAAATGTCTCATTTCATCACTTTGTTGGCGTCTACAAGGGTTTATTTTCAGTTTGAATCATTTTGCTTACCCCTCCTTTAAAAAAAAAGGTCTCACAAGTTGCCTGTTTGCAAAATGAAAAAAGCTGTTATAAATAAAAACTATAGATGCATTTATTAAAATTCTATTGTTGCTCATTCAAACACGGTTCAGATAGTCTGTGTATGTGCAAAACCTTAAACACTTCCAGCACTTTGAAATCCTCCTGATTTTTATAGAAGTGACTAAAGCAGAAAAATAAATGCGCAGAGCAGACGCATGACCAATGCTGCAAACTGACAAGATGCCCCCCCCCCCCAATGTCAAGTTACTAAATCAGAACAAAACTAATTCCAGTTTTCTTTCATATTGTAAGCTAAAAAAAATGGACAAATACGGCAAAAACTAAAACACTGAAACAGCTTAGCTTCACCTATTCCATTACATCACACCATCTGCAAGGCATTATGGGTACGACCTGGACAGAACTTTACCTGATGGTGTGTTTTCAGTGAGGCTCATACTTGCACCTGCACATGTGTTTGACCTTTAAAACTGTAGGTGTGGTCGTGTGCAAAGTCAACGCTCTCAAACAGCAAAGACATTATGATGGTTTTTTATTTATTTATTCTGATAAATGTATTTATTAGAGTTTGGTAAAAAACTTCGGAGCTGTGCTTATTGTGCAAATCTGGGGTGGTGCTTTGCTAAAGTTGTGTTAACTGTAACTTAATTGTTTTACTGCAGTTTTTAGCAATCATTACAAAAATCTGTAAGTGGCATACATTTTCAAAGTCAAAAGTTGTCAACTTTAGCCCTAATGTAAAAAAAAATGCAAACCTTATGGGGAGGGACTAAATATTTAGTTATTTAGTTAAATAAGTGTCATGTTCAAATTTTAACTTGAATGACAGGGATGGGCTCAGAGTGCCCATGATTTAAGTTTTCATTCAGCTTTATCAACATTTTATGCTTTAGCTGCTCATTTAACAACAATTTTAAATGTATTTGAATCACACCAAGCAGGCTTTGTGTAAAACATGAATAAATCAAAGTTCTGAGGATCAGATAAACATCTCACAGGTCACAGGTTGGACTGAGGAGATGTATTCTCCTGTTGATGCTACATGGCACCATTAAAAGACGGAGCGTTTTCCTCGTGTGTTTGATCTGATCTCAGTATTTGTGGCCCTCAGCCGTTCAGTGGGAACTCAACCCAGAGGGTGGTGGTGGTGGTGGGGGGGGGGCAGTTATCATAACAAAGACCTGTAAGATGAACTCAGGTGGAGGAGAAGAATCCAAACAGAGCAGCGCAGCCGCGGGGCATTCAGGCTTTAATTAATAGTTCGGCTCGTTAGTTCTGTAGGCCCAAACCGCTGAGGTGCCAGTTCCTGGTCTCATGATGAAGATGCAGTCCGAACGTAGTCTTCACCTCTCTGTGTCTGAGGAAGTGTCAGGTGGTGCAACACACTGAGGTGGATTTCCTCATCCAGGCCTTCCAAACGAAGAAAACCTGATTTATCGTTCACTGTTGGTTCAAGAACAATCCAGCGCAATTCATTTATAAAGAAAACTGTAAAAGAGTGGAATTAAATCTAAAAACAAACAAAAAAAAGGCATGACAAGCATTAAACGCAATAAATGACAAACTCCATCATTGTTTTGACTTTTATATAATTTAAAAAAAACGTACAAATATTGTTGGTGTTTAACGCTTTTAAATGCCTGAGTGTCAAACAGAACAAATAGATCTTCATGAATAAAAGATCTTACTGAAGCTACAACATTATTAATAACAGTAAAAGTTTTATTTTATTTTTACTTTGGACACAAGAGAAGTTTAAAAATACAACTACAATTATAGCATTAAAATAATAGAAATAGTGGAGATCCTTTTAAGTCACACTCTCAAACAGTGTGACCAGAACAGTTTATCATCATAACATAAACTTTGTTTCCTGGTTGTGTATTTTATTCATGTTGCCATAACTTGTTCTATATTGCTTTAATTACAATAAAGTTCTAGTGTTTGTGTTTTCAGATATGACAATTGAAAAATAGTGCAATGCTAAAAAAGTAAAAGTGAGTAGAGCAAAGTATCAGAATGGTAAAAATAGATAACTTTAATAGACTTATAAATAACATTCCTCCAATTAATTAAAAAAATATATTATGACTGGTGCTTCTTGTCGTTTACCATTTCTTAATGTTCAAGGATTGTAAAGGAAAGTTGCAAGCAAAAAGTAACTTTAAAAGTTTTTATCTGTCAAGACTTAAGTATCACCACCTGAATATTTATTTTTTAATTTATTGCAAACTATCTCAGAAACTTTATTTGATTTACTACTGCTGCATTAACATGCATACAAAGATTCAGCCACAAGAGGGCGCGCTGGTTTCTATCTATCTATCTATCTATCTATCTATCTATCTATCTATCTATCTATCTATCTATCTATCTATCTATCTATCTATCTATCTATCTATCTATCTATCTATCTATCTATCTATCTATCTATCTATCTGTCTGT